GTCCCAATGTCAGAGATGCAGTGTCCACGTCTCGGAGTGTGGACATGGTCAGGAAGTCTGGCGTCCACATTCTCAGAACACGATGTGGTTCATGGTCAGAGGTGCAGCGTCCACGTTCTCGGAGTGTGACGTGGTCAGAGCGTGCAGCGTCCACGTTTCAGAGCGTGACGTGGTCAGAGGTGCAGGTCCACGGTTTCAGGCGGTGGATCCCGGGAGCGTGACGTGGTCAGAGGTGCAGCGTCCACGTTCTCGGAGCGTGACGTGGTCAGAAGTGCACTTCACCACGCTTCCTCCTGGGGTCAGAGCTTGCAGACTGCGCTCACAAGTCCCCAGGGGTGGGAGGAAGTGTGCTCCTCTCCTCCCCCACCCACTTCCATGCTGCTGCCAGGGGAAAGAGGGGCCAAAAGACGTCCTTTAATTGGGCAGGGTCACCTCCCACGCTGACAGGAGAAAGGATTCTGGCAGCAGCCTGGGAAATGGGCTCATCTTTCTACCCCCAGAACACTGTGTGCTATTTATTTACCTCCTATAATGTTCTGGGCTTAGCAAACAGCATCTGAATACCACTTGCCCAGCCCTGACCCTACAGCCACCTGACCCTCCAGCCATCTCACAATGTCCTCTGAGCCACCATCAGTGAAACGGGGGCTGCTGTCATCTTTACTGCCTTCTGGGTACAAGTCCGAGGGTCCCAAGGCTGCAAAGTGGCATGAAATGAAAGACACTTTAACACACCATGTTCTCAGGTCCTGCTTTTTGAGCTGAAATCTATTTTCCACATTTGCCAAAAATCAAAATCTCCATTTTAAATGTTTGAGGTGCAAAGTTCAGAAAGATGATCCATCGTGACCACGAGGTGCTGCTGCACTAGGACAGCACTGGCAGCCTCTCCCTCCACGCCCCGTGATCTGCAGGCAGCCAGCGCCAGGTTACAGGCGGGGTCCTCGGGGCCCAGACCTGCTGAGGCTGGACCGTCTCCAGCTCCCAGCATGCGTCCAGGAGGCGGCACGGCACAGGGCCGTGGATGGCCCCAGTTGGTCTCGGCTTCAGGACTTTTAGTTCTAAGAGGGGCTTTCACCCCGTAAGAGCCACTGGGATGCTGCGCCACCGAACAACTTTCCCAGCCCCACCTGCCCTGGGAAGCCTGCTTGGATGCGGGTCTCTGTGGTCGCTTCTCTGTGAGCGGTGTCTGTCCCTCTCAGCACCAGGGCCATTTGGGTCCGGGTCGCTCCTTGTGGGGCTGTCCTGTGCACCACACAATCTCCGCAGCACCACCGAGCCACCCCGCATACCTGGATGTGACAGTCTCCAGGTCGCTGGACACTGCCAATGTCCCAGTGTCCCCTGAGGGGAAAAGTTTTCCTGGTTGAGAACCGCTGCCTTGGAGGAGAGCTGATTTCCTTTCAAACACGAGCTGTATACATTACAGTTAGTGAGACTGCAACCATTTGGAAGTCCGTATCCCTCGGGGAATATAAAACCAACTCTATTAAGCCACACTGTGGAAAATGACCTTTGACAGCGAATCCTGATTAGAACAGGGGATGCAGACCTCATTTCCCATCTCAGAGGTCCTGGGTCGTTTGTCAAGCTCCAGGCCAGAATTATGACCCTGTAAACCAGCAAACGGCAGCCTGCAGCCTTCACAGCCCTGGCTGCAGGGACAGAAACAACGTCCACAGTACAGTCACTCCTCGTTCTCCTGTGGAATATTCCTCTGTCATCCCGGCTGTACCAACCCACACCAGCCGAGAACGGAGAAGCCCCCTGAATACACTGAAGGCTGCCTGGAACACCCAAGAGCTTGTGGCCAATGGTTTTCGTTTCTTCTTGACCCAAAACTAAATGTACAGAGAATTCCTAATCAAAGCGTCTCTTCTTTCTCTCCAAGAAACATATTCAAGACCATGTTTTCATTTCAAACAAAAAAATAGAAATGGGTTTTAGATAATTTATTCATTACAAATCCACTTTATCTGTCAGGTTATATTAAACATCGG